GGGTGCGACAAGCACAGATGACCTTCAGGCCACAGCTGAAAGCCAAATCTGCAATAAAGGTGCTGAACATGACCCATTAGAATTCCATGTACCACATCTCCCTCAAGACACATGAAAATTTCTCCCGGAGATGTGAGTTGATGGTAGCATGGACATGGGGCTCCACCAGACGTTCCCAGTTCACCCTCACTATATGTTTGGGTTTACCAGGTCTGTCCAGCAGCCTCCCCCTGCCACCAGATCCAACTCACTACCAGGTGGTGATAAGTTGACAGTTCTGCCCCTCTCTTCATTAAAGGACACACGTAGGAAACTGGCACCTACAGTAGGTTCATCGGTCCATTCCCCATGGAGAGAATTATCAACTCCTCTGCATTTAGACTCAAGCTACCCTCCTCACTGAGAATCCACCCCACATTCCATGTCTCACAGTTCAAGCCACTATCAGAGAGTCTACTTTGCCCTCCAGCTGACTACCCTCTACACCCCCCAAACCCCACCCTGGCTCATCAATAACCACCCAGCCTTCTCTGTTCAATGAATGCTGGTTGTTCACCACAGGACTAGGGGGCTTCCAGTACTTAGTGGACTTGGAGGGACCCAAGGAGAGATCCTGGATCCCTAGATCTTTTATGATGTTTGATCTCATCCTTTTATAAATCCTATTCAGAGAACCGGGTGAGATCCCCAAAAGGCAATTCTTAAGAGTGGGGTATTTTCGCAATCACTATGTTTTGTGCATTAACCACATTTTGCAGCGTCCTGAGTGGCAGGGCAGCACTTACCAGCTGTTCCTGATCCCAGCTGATGAGACTCTATATCTAAGATCTTGTGTGCCAGCTTCTCTCTGCTGGGACATCACATGCCAATTGGTATTATGGAACAGCCTGAACAAGACTCACCTAATCATTTAGAAAGCCTAATTTTGATTTTTCTTGTGCCTTTAGTTCCTGGTTTCCTGTTTTCCCCTTATTATGAGTTTGCATCTTAACACTTTTTCCAAGGTCTTCCTGTTGGTTACCTCCTGTGGACACCTATTCCTCCAATGATCTCCAGCCCTAGGAGAAATTAAACAGCCTTTGAGTTCGACCTGACACTCTCTCTCCACTTGCACTTACCTGTCTCCATCCTGAAAATCTCCTAATCCTCTCCAGACCTGTGAAACACAAAGGATAAAGTAAGACCTCTCCTGCATAACGGTTATCCTCGATCCTCATATTTTGTGGATTTAGAAACTCACCATTATCATCTCTCTACAGATCTTACATCAAGCCCCTGAGAATCACTCCACTTGTAAATAAAGCACTATTCATTTGACATACCTGTGTGTTTCCTGTTCATTGTCAGTTTGCCTACTCTGGGTTAATTAATTAATACGAAAATTACTACTTATCTTTTACCTTCATTTGTAGTCTGATTCCTTTTCTGTCTCAGAATACTGGGTTAAGGTTTAAAACTATACTTACCAAAATACTCCCAACTCAACCTACTTTCAACTGGGAGTAGGAAGTGTGTTTGAAGAAGTTAGGGTGAGGCTTTCAAACCTTAAAGCGCTGGATGAAATGTCAAGAATGTTGGTGGTAGTTTCATTCAGTGAAGCGTTTGCATTGCACGAAGTGGATGAAACAATGAAGAACTTCCAAATTCTCCAACTACACTTAAAATCAAAAGGTATATGATTGAAACCTGGACACATTTGGGTATTTCAACAGGATGATGATCCCAAACATACATAAAAACTGGTTTCTGATTGGATAATATAGGAAAATATTAATGTACACCCACAACTGAAAGAATCAAACCCCACTATGTTTCTAAACACATTTGTTTGGTTTTGTTTTTCCTGACCATCATAGTGAAAGGTGGGCAATGATGTTATTGTCAATCTTTCTCATTCTTTGTGCGCGTGTCTTGTGAAAAATGCTGGTACTTGAAACTTGATTGAAAAAACAGTCTCAATGGCTCTGTTATTTGGTACCTCATTCAGCTTGAATTATTACACCAAGAGCAATATGGGATGTCCATGATATTCATGCATTAAATGAGCTGCGATATTATGATGACTGCAAGTGTCATGTCTCATTTCACACTGTCCAAAAAGAAATAAAAAAAAACCTTATGTAAGCAAGCTACTGCACTGATTGTTTTTACGTGCTGTGTGTAGCCTGTCTTCATATGACTACACTGATGCTTTGTCATTTTATCTACTCATGAGTTGCCTCATAATCCCTGATAAATTTCCTCAGAATTGCTAGAAAAGTCTTACTGCTTCAAAAATCACTGCGTTTGTCTGACTTTGAGTTCTGATAGCACTGTGCTGCTGCTTGGACAAGCAACGTCCTGACAGCTTCAAAACATGGATGTCTAACAAATGGGTTTGGGGAAAAACATATTATGACCTGAAGAAAACTTAGAGTAAAGTTACATATTCACTTACAGATCTAGTGAGAGTAAACACAGACAAGTGCTGTCCTAAATATAACCCAGTTTCATCGCTACAGAAGGCTGTACCAAAAACAAATTGAGGGCAACCATAAAGATTGGGCACTGGGATTTTACTCGGGTGCAATTCACAGAAGGTATATATGGGACTTTTTAGAGAGGCTCTGTGGAAGGGCTATGAATAATTAAAGTGATGGTCTGGTTGTTTTAAAAGTGACATTTCTTCAAATCGTTACCAATAGTTAGTATCGTATCAGCTGTGAAATTAGTCATAGAACATGGAGAGTAGAAAAAGAGGCAGCAGTTTTAGTCTAAGCTAGACTAAGGATATATCAAAAAGGCTGCATGTTTATCTTTTCTCTTTTTTTCAGGCTTTAAAAGCAACTCTTTCTCAAAGGCATCATCCCAGTGTGAAAGAATACTACTGTATATTAGCTCACATTAAACCTCTTTATTTTCTAACTGTTTTCTCATTTGAACTCTATCCACATTATTTCGAGAACATACTCAATTCAGTTCAGTTTATTTATATAGCTCAAAGTCACAACAGAAGTTGTCTCTACACTGTATGAAAACATTCACATTAAAAAAAACAATTAGTAGAAGTTATCTATCTAAGGAAGCCAGCAGATTGTGTTGAACCTTCACTTCATTGCAGTCTTCCATCCTGAGCAAGCACACTGGCAACAGTGGAAAGGAAAAACTCCCTTTTAACAAGAAGAAACCTCCAGCAGAACCAGGCTCAGGACGAGCAGCCATCTGCTTCAGCTGGCTGGGGTTTAAGAGGACAGGAAGGAGAAACAAGCAAACAACATATGTGTACCAAGTTGTGTACAGGCCAAACATTGTGGCCCTCATTTTATTAGACATTAGCCTAGCCTGGATGAAGACTTTTGCCTCTTTCTCTATTGCCAGAAAATTTTTGGTCAAATGTTATGAATGTTGTTTTTTCTATGGTTGAGATCATTCTTACCCTCTGCCCTCAGAACAAGAAACCTAAAACAAAGTGAAACCCTCTCCCAAAACATTATTTTATGTCTGCCCATGAACCATGTGTTTGCGTAAATGGAGAGTGCTGTGCAAGAAGATTGCACAAGGACACATTCTGAACTCTGTGAACTCAGCTGAGCTGAATGGGATATAAAGGTGAGCAGCTAACGTGGCTTGTGACTCATTTCTGTGACTGGTCTTCATTGTGTGTACATTTTCTGTATATTTTTGTAACCTGTCCTGAAATCAGACCTTGCAAGTATAAAATACCATTTAAACATTGTCTCCTGCCATTGAGTGTGATTCTTTTGAGTAAACAATGTTAGTGAAAGATATTTTCTCCAACATCTATACTTCATATTCTGACTGATAAGGTGCTATCAATGACTATTGGACAGAACATCAATTTAAGACTATTAACCTTTATTTAAACAAGTAATGGAGTGGTGGCGCAAAGGTTAGAGAAGATGGGCCTGTGATCAGAAGGTCGCCAGTTCAACTCCCCCGACCAACAACATTAAAATGTGGGTGGGAAAGGTGAAACACCCACACCTGCCTCCACCCTCATTTGCCCTCTGGGCCCTTCAACAAGGCCCTTAACTCCCACAATCTGCTCCCCTAGGTGCCCTACTAGATGGCAGCTCAGGGCTCCCTCCTTTTCACTCTGCTCACATATGACTGCGCACCTACTCATCCAGTCTGTCACATTGTAAAGTTTGTGAATGATACAGCAGTGGCTGGATGCATCACAAACAATGATGAGTCCGGCTACAGAAACGAGTTGGAACACCTGGAGAGCTGGTGCAGGACGACTAACCTTCACATCAATACGAAGAAGATGGAGGAGATAGTTGTGAATTTCAGACAGAGCAAACACACCTACCTACCCCCCAGGGGGTAGGTGGGTGGTCTCCAGTTACAAGCACTTGGGTGTGCACCTGAATGACAACCTCAGCTGGGGCAACAACACTACCAGCCTGATCAAGGAAGCACATACCATACCAAAGCACTTTATTTATAAAGCACTTAAAACAGCAACAAGGCCAACCAAAGTGCTGTACAGCAGAAACAAACAAGTAAAGCACACAGCAAAAAATACATGGAAGAAGATAATAAATAAATGGCTAACATTGTTGACTATAGACGGTGTTGGCGTAAATCGACTCACTCTATCCGCCCCAAAGTTCGTTGTTTGG